AGCAGGAATTTTACCCATGTTTGCAGGGATTTTACATTCAAGATGATGGTGTTTCTGAATTTGTCTGGCAACATCTGAATGTCATGTTCAGTCAATGCAATTCAGAAACATTCTAAGAATGTCAGTCAGAATCTGAAAGTTGAAAAACAGGGATTGAAAAAACATTTCTATTGCTTACTTACAGGTATTGCAGGTTCCAACATGCCTATCTCTAGCATTCATTAAAGTGAACAAGGACCAGTCCTTCCTCTTTCAGAGTATGTTTCAGAAATATACTTTATCCATAGAATTTAACATGCTAAAAACCTGAGCAACTTATCTCACAGAGCAGTAACAGTGCTGGCAGTAACAGGGTTGGTAGTAACATAGAGCAAAGAAGGAATGTGTGAGCATTCCTTAGCCTCTAGAAAGAGATCCTGGAAAATGAGAAAACTGAAGAAGTCTCATTGATAAAAGGAGTACAGTAGCCCAAGATCAAGAGATTTAGCAAAAGACTACAATGGTTTCAGAAAATGGAATGATCTATGTGTACCAAAATGAAATTGGACTCTTCAGTATTGAGACTTGGAGATCTCTGGTTAAAAGAACTTTCTCCCTGCTTCCCTCTACAGTGACTATAAGAACAGTGTAATTTGTTTATCTGTTAATGAGGGAAAATAAAAGTATATATTTTAATTCCCCCCCCATATATATATAAGTATATAAATATATACGTACACACACAAATACATATATTAAAAAATAAAAAAAACAAACAGAAAAAAGTTTTCTTATTTATGCGGCACCTTTCTTAGGAACACTCAACTCTTCTGACAACTGGGGATGAATAATCCACTTATAAGCTTCTTTCAGCTGAACAATATCATCCTTTGCCAAGGAAAGGTCCAGTTTTCTGAATCACATACACAAAGAAATAATAACTTGCACAGGAGTGTCAAAGATAGATATGTTACATAGAGTATTTCAAGACCAACTTAAGTAACTAGTCTCAGGTGAACGAGAAATGAACAAATAAAAAAAGGACGAAAGTACTAAGCATACGGACCATGGCATGAAGGAATGAAAGGCTGTTCCAAGACCTCCTATAATGATGCTGAATCTTTGCACTGAATTAACAAAGTGCTGAGGAAACATTAAGGCCAGACCAGGATTCGAGGTAAGATGCTTCCCAATAAACAGGTAAGTGTTTGGCAGGGAGTAGCTGAAGGTGTAGCTACTTGAGCTACAGTCAGCTCAAACCAGTAAGGACTAT